TCTTCAGGTCCTCCGGAGTGTGCTCTTCGTTGCCATTCACTGAATCCGTGGTAAACGCAGTGTTAATACATATTTTGGTTTTAAAACTAAAAATAAATACCGAAAACATAAGACAATAGGAATGAAATTAATAATAATATAATAATATGTTTCATATTTATGTGTTATATTTGTGTCCCACTATACGATTGACTCAATTTGTTGTTTAATTTTAAGTTATGTTTATTATGTTTAGCATAAAATGGGAATATAGTTTATTTAATCAGGTTTTTTGTTGAAATTAAATAATCTATTGATTAAAAAAATGTGTAACATATTTTTTAATACAATAAGTTTCACAATTTTTAATAGTCCTGTGTATTAATTAATCTAATTGCTAGTTAAAATAAATTCTATACATAATAAATTAAAACTTTAGTTCACTGACAGTCTGTTCAAATAAATGTAACATTTTTATTAAAAATTTAAAAACAAAATTCTATTATATTATTAACAAGTACTGTAAGTATAATATTAATAAGAAATAACACTTTTGATAGTGAAATTATTTATTTGCATATTAAAATTTTTAACATTTATTTTAAACAGATTTAGATAGATATACTGTACACTAAAATAAAATAATAAACTCTATTGAGAATCACATTTATCATTATTATTAAATTCTGTCACAATCTCTTGTCTCAATGTTTGTAAAACTTTCAGTTGATTCAAACAATTGAGTCTAATTTGTTGGAAATATTCCTTATGGGCGTCAGTACAACGAGAATCCGTTATTAGTTTATTCATAATAGTTATGGATTTATTAATCGACTCCAATAGTCGCCCAAAAGTATACAATAGTTGAGCAAACTTTGCATCTAAATTTACAAAGTATAATAAATAACAGTAACTGTTTAACATTCACTTACCTATTGATGTAGTCATTATTTTATTTCAGAAACAAAATGTTATAATTATGTTAATTTAATTTAAACTAAATATTAATAATTTGTAGATAATTTTTCTGATAAATGTATGTTAAAAACAAATATTATCTCAGCTTTAAATTGACATTTGAGTGATTATACAGGTACAGTATCATATCGCATAGTATTTTATTTATTAAATAATTTTTAGTTTTATTTTCAAAATAATTGTTTCAAATTGCATTAAAAAATTAGTAATTTATAAATTAATTATATTCCAGAATAATTGCATGGTTTGTAATCATACATCAAAAATAATTCTTATAACTTTAAACTACAAGTTTTATAATTTTATTAATTGCCAATACAGTATAACAAATAATTTAAATTGAATAATAAGTTTATTTCATAAATTATATAAATATTAAGATAACAAATAAAAATCTATAATCATTTATTCACTATAATATATATAAATAACTATAAGCAAAAAGTTTTTAAACATATTTTAAATTAAATAATAAGAATTGTATTTATAACTGACAAACAATTTTTATAATAGTGATCCTGATCCTAATCAATGTTTATGATTATTAATCTCGTTGGCAAATGCTTGCTGCATTTCTGTACGCATATCTTCAGCCATTTTGCAGCACTCTTGTAGCGACTTCTTGTGATCTTTGCACTGCTTCTGGAGCTCAGCCTTCTTTTTGATGAGATCCTCGATATGTTTTTTGGCCTTTTTTAGGGCACTCTTCATACCGGGGTTCGTCTCCGACTCAATCATATGGTCCACGACTGGCATCATAGCTGTCATCGATTCGGTCATGAACTTGAAATAGTCAGCCAGCTCCTTTTCAGTCTTAATGCCATGGCACACCACTGTTCATCAAATTGGGCAATCAATAATTAATGTTTTTAAACAAATTCAATTACAATTCATTTATTATTTTAATCATTTTCAGAATATTCTTAAAGAATTCTTACAGAATTGCATTTAACTTAATATTGAATTATAACGTAATTGTAATTATTATGATATTTATTTATAATTTTAATTGAGTTTATAGTAAATAATATATAATTAATATTTACCGATTATATTCAGAATAATAATTAAGGTTAACCCGTAAATGGGTTTAATATGCATTTTACTACAATTTTGCTTTAACTAAATTTCAAATCACAAAAATTGTTTTGATATTTAAGTATTAATATCAGAACTTTCCACTAAATCATTGATTTTATCAGCTTTTAGTCTATTAATGATAAGTAACAGAAATTAATGATATATCCGCATTATTTAATCAATATATTTTAACCATTAGTCTCATGATTGACAAATTAATTGATCTAATACTGATCCATTAAAATTTAATGATTAAATTGTTTGAACAAACCTTTCGTACAATTAAAAATTTTCTACATTAAAAAATATCTATTAAAATATTTTTAACTTATAAAATTATTTAACATTCAATTCTATCAAAATATTTCGTAAATTAACTTTGATAAAGTTAAAATGAATAAATTAATACCAATTGTGTGCACTATTTCATTGGCACTCATTATAAATGGTATGGTTTACTGGAATATTTCATAAAGTGTACATAAAATGATTATCAATTAAATGACTAATGCTATTAAACTTAATACCGTATTAGTGTTCATACAAATAAATGAACAAACATTGAATCTAACGATACAAATAATGTCTAAACCATATCTCATAACCACTAATGTAGTCAATGAGCTAATAATCAAAACTAACTAATCATTCATTTATCAAACACTAACAGACAGTGTGTGGGTGCGGGGCGAGGAGGCCAGTGGTGGGACGGGTAGCTCACAGGGAGAGGAGTTCCACTTATTCGAGTGCACGGAGGCCAACAAGAACGAGCACTTCGAGAAGATGGCCGCATATCTGTCTCATATGATCCCATTCCTCGAGCTTATGGACCAACACAGCGACAACACTGTCGGCGATGAGCACAAGAAGCATAAGGAGGACCTCAAGAAAATGATCGCTCACTTCAAGAAGTATAAGGAGACCAAAGAGGCCCTTAAGACCCGGTGCGACGACCCCAAAACCACAGTCTCCCTGTGCTGTCAAGAGATTAAGGCATTGGAGAAGAAGTTTCACGACGAGATGGACCACTTCAACCACGACGAGGCCAAACAGTAGGCCCCACCAGTAGGCCATCCCGTTGTTTCCNACTATTGAGAATCACATTTATCATTATTATTAAATTCTGTCACAATCTCTTGCCTTAATGTTTGTAAAACTTTCAGTTGATTCAAACAATTGAGTCTAATTTGTTGGAAATATTCCTTATGGGCGTCAGTACAACGAGAATCCGTTATTAGTTTATTCATAATAGTTATGGATTTGTTAATCGACTCCAATAGTCGCCCAAAAGTATACAATAGTTGAGCAAACTTTGCGTCTAAATTTACAAAGTATAATAAATAAAAGTAACTGGTTAACATTCACTTACCTATTGATGTAGACATTATTTTATTTCAGAAACAAAATGTTATAATTATGTTAATTTAATTTAAACTGAATATTAATAATTTGTAGATAATTTTTCTGATAAATGTATGTTAAAAACAAATATTATCTCAGCTTTAAATTGACATTTGAGTGATTATACAGGTACAGTATCATATCGCATAGTATTTTATTTATTAAATAATTTTTAGTTTTATTTTCAAAATAATTGTTTCAAATTTCATTTAAAAATTAGTAATTTATAAATTAATTATATTCCAGAATAATTGCATGGTTTGTAATCATACATCAAAAATAATTCTTATAACTTTAAACTACAAGTTTTATAATTTTATTAATTGCCAATACAGTATAACAAATAATTTAAATTGAATAATAAGTTTATTTCATAAATTATATAAATATTAAGATAACAAATAAAAATCTATAATCATTTATTCACTATAATATATATAAATAACTATAAGCAAAAAGTTTTTAAACATATTTTAAATTAAATAATAAGAATTGTATTTATAACTGACAAACAATTTTTATAATAGTGATCCTGATCCTAATCAATGTTTATGATTATTAATCTCGTTGGCAAATGCTTGCTGCATTTCTGTACGCATATCTTCAGCCATTTTGCAGCACTCTTGTAGCGACTTCTTGTGATCTTTGCACTGCTTCTGGAGCTCAGCCTTCTTTTTGATGAGATCCTCGATATGTTTTTTGGCCTTTTTTAGGGCACTCTTCATACCGGGGTTCGTCTCCGACTCAATCATATGGTCCACGACTGGCATCATAGCTGTCATCGATTCGGTCATGAACTTGAAATAGTCAGCCAGCTCCTTTTCAGTCTTAATGCCATGGCACACCACTGTTCATCAAATTGGGCAATCAATAATTAATGTTTTTAAACAAATTCAATTACAATTCATTTATTATTTTAATCATTTTCAGAATATTCTTAAAGAATTCTTACAGAATTGCATTTAACTTAATATTGAATTATAACGTAATTGTAATTATTATGATATTTATTTATAATTTTAATTGAGTTTATAGTAAATAATATATAATTAATATTTACCGATTATATTCAGAATAATAATTAAGGTTAACCCGTAAATGGGTTTAATATGCATTTTACTACAATTTTGCTTTAACTAAATTTCAAATCACAAAAATTGTTTTGA